CACAGACACACAACAAACCATTGTCTTGCCAAGCCAATTAGTCATCATTTTAGCCCAGAGCACAACAAACCTCCTCCATTCATAAACAAAGCAATGTACAATCAAGGGCTGCTCAACAAGGGTCCAGTCATTTACACAGACCACAATATAAGCTTCACCCACTTCACCCCGAATCATCCCATTAGTGTCTCTGAACCAGACTTGAGCTGATAACTCTCCGTATCTCCGTACCTAAACTGGAATGTCATCAAGAAAGGAATGCTGATTACACTAACTTTTGATTTCATGTTCTCACGGTCTGTGCCCTGCATTAGACAGACTCAGTGGGAGCCCTGTGATGGTCTGATCCCCCTATCATCAGTCTTTATAACTCGATCTCCGACTATGTTTTTATTCACATTCCTCACCATATAAAAAAGGGCCAAGGTGGTCCTGCTACTAAGTGACCCATCAGAGCATAAGAAGTTAAACTTCTGTAACCTACACTCATCACAAGGCTGCGCAGCTGTTCATGAACGTTGTGCATTTCCGAATAACCGGGCACTCACTCACTGCCCCTCTCACTCTCATATTTTCCTGATTTCAGAGCTACTGTATTTAAAGCAGATGTGGGGGGATCACTGGGAGTGGGAGAGACCATCACAGATTCCTCAGCTGTATAATCAGCCCGTAGTTTGGAAATCGACATTGGGCAATGTGACAAACAGTAAGCCACGTGTTCCCTTACGTTAACTCAAAACTATAAGCGGATACAGCGCTGTCACAACTCTGAACACTAAATTAAGACTACCTCGTTTATAGTAACGTGCTGTGAGTGAGTTGACGCGCATTGACTCATATCGAGGTTAAATAAGGTGAGTAAACAAAGGATAATGTTGATTTATTGGCTCGTTTCGGCCGAAGTGACTCGTTCCTCCACGATAGAGAAACACTAACGGTAACGTTACTGGGTAGTCTTGTCACCAACATGTCACCATATAAAAAGAGAAACATAAAGGATGTTATATGACACATGTTACGCATTATGTTAACTACCAACTACGGTTAGCAACATACAACTTTTAAACTAACTTAATTAACCCGCTCGAGAAGCCTCTTCACTAGAAAACAACCCTCAACTCAAAAAGTTTCACTCGGTGAATCCTCTCCACCCCCAACGGCTGACAGACAGACACTGTAACGTGAACGTTAGACGGACAGTGGGCTCGTGCATACCGTTGGTGAGACTGTCCTGCTCCTCTCGCGCTCTGTCCATCCGCTCTCTGCCGAGCCGTTTAAACACGCTGACCGGTGGTGGTGAGACGAATGAATCCGTTCTCACCCTCGCAGGTTGGCTCTCTGTGTCCCTTTTTAAATACGTTTTCTTCACATGGTGTTTTTTCTGCTGATGGGCTGTCGTTTGTCCCTCGGTCGGTCGGTCAGCCCCCCTGTCCCTCTATCCCCCTCTCTCTGTCCCACCGGGAGCTAAGCAGGCGCGGCTTGCGAGAGAGGAAGTAGTGATGCGTTCACTTACTGTTGGACACTTGATATGTATAGTATCAATAACACATAGTGAAGGTTAGTAACGTTACTACTTTAGTAGTGGTACCATACCGGTAGTTACTACTCTTAGTGTACTAGTACTAGTTCAGGGCCGTAGTCAGGATTTTAGAAAATACTACTGTCATGATTCCAAATCTTAAAAATTGTTCAGTTCTATCTTCTGTAAATGTAATTTTCCAACAAAAGGGTTTAGATATATAATTGATTAAATACAATTTTAGTATTGTTTTATTTTACATTTGTGATAATACTGAAAGCCTATTTAGTGATTGTGTTTTTCCCTTCAGGTTGCTAAAATAGACAAATTCCCAGAAAAATAACTATGGACATTAACATAGCGTCTTCATAAACACAGCCTCGGAAGTAAGAGTTGTAGCAGTAATAGTTGGTCGTGTGATAGTAATTCTTGTCAGCATCATGTTTATTATATTTGCTATTTTACACAAGTAATATAAATGTGTGTATGGGAAGACCAGCATGATTGAATCATAGCTATAATCCTACCAAAAGATGACAAAATGTGGCGACTGTTGTGCAGGGATGTCTTTGTACTTTGAGAATACATCGCCAGTAGTACTATACAGTCTTCTGCTACAAATATCATGTGACAATATAGTAGTATGGAGCATAATGATCATGTTAGCACATCTTTATTTACAGAATGACAGTGTGATAGTGATTAACCTCTGCTGCAGTGAACTATTGATACCCTGATCACATGGCTCCTCAACAGGAAAAAATGTGTGAAATTAACAGTAAAGTGCAAAAACAAAGTTTATTCCTACACGAGCACACTTTTAATTTAGCAGTTGAAGCACAAACTAGCTGTTTTTGGTTGACTCATATAATGAGGAAAACATTGACGCTTTTTAATGAGGCCTGTGCGTTTCTATCCCCAACCTAAGGTATCTACCATTGGGTCAGATCACCATCATCTTCAGACGTAATGAAAGAAAGTAGGGGTTTCCGAGTAGTCTTTGAATGTGTCACAAGGAGCACATGAAGTGAGGGGAGGGGCTTAGACCCGTGCCACACTGCCGCCTGCTGGTCTCAAAGACGAAATACTCTATAACCTCCCAGACATTAGACAAAACCTCTTATCTTGATGCTTCAAATGATGAATTATAAATGAGTAAAAATTGTTAATAACACAGATACAGTAAGAGTTTGCTGTGTCATACAAATAAAGCACATGACTTTTACATGTCTCATTTTCCTTGCAGTCACCACATCCTGTTCCCATAACCTCGCTAATCCTCCAATGGTCTCCTCATCCATATACTGTCACTGTCCCACAGTCTGAGCAGCAGAGTGGACCTCTTGACCTAAAGCAGCATCAAGTTCTGCAATGAAATATCTCTTCCAATTGTCAAAAGTCCCAAACTTTGTGCCCACAAGTTCAACTCTACTATCTAAACAAAGACGGTTTAGTATTATGAACGACATACAGTAATACCACAATGTACATCCTCAAATATTAACCGCCTCTGGTGCACAAAAGTCATATTTTATGCAGGATCTCTGTGTTGGATTTCATTAAATTGTGCAGGTGTTTGATGTGTCCCCTTCCTTTAGTCTCACAATTCAAAGTTATGAATTCCTCAGTGACTATGTTGAACAAGACAGAAAACCAGCTTTTATAAATATGGACTCATGTGTCTGGAAATAAAGTTGAATATATAAATTAAGATTTTCATGACCAGAGAATTTTAAGTTCCCTGAAAGCCAAATTACCTCTCTGCATCTCTTTGTCTCCTGAGCTCCCTCTGAAGACCCCATCATACCGTAACGTACCGTCTTCATCACGTGAAGGAGCAGAAGAGAACTCGTCGTCCTGGCACGAGACCATTTTCATAATAAAGACCCGAAAACAAGAAACATTAAAACATTTTCCCCAAAAATCAACAGTTCAGTCACAGCTCGGGTTGTTTCTCAAATACAATTTTATTTGCTCTATCCACATTAGAATTACTTCATTAATAGTTATTACATACAAGTTCCTTCTGTATTGAAATATGATATACAAAATTAATCTAATTTAGAGATGACATTAGTCAAAGTGACCAGTACAACGGTCCTCTTGGTCTAACAGTTGTCAGATCAACAGTTAGAGAAGTAAGAATTAGGACCGTTGAGATGACAAAAAAAAAAAAAAAAAAAACACATGTCCAGTACAAATATTATTTACAAAGTGAAACTGAAATAAAGCATAACCTTGTTTATAGGACAAATTAGTTGTGAAAAGAAGTGGTTTTCATGACAATCACCTGACAAACATCAAACTGCCTCTCAAGCTGCGAGTAATCAGACCTGAAGGTTTACAGTAGCACCCATTGACATATCGGTTATTGATTACCAGTGTTTGACCCCTTTTGTGAACACAGGCATCAAAAACACCCAGAAGAAAAGGACTCAATGAGATTTATTATATATATATAAAAAAAAATAAAAAATAAAAAATAAAAAAATCAAACAACAACAGATGACTAACATTTCATGGCATGCAGTAGCACTTTGACGTCTGCTCTTCAGGCCCTTAATGGAGTCATCAGCTGCTTCACTCGGCATTAAAGGGCAAATCAACAGACAGCAATGGATCCAGAAACACCATGCAGACAACGAGATAAAGTTAAGACAAAAACAAGACATTCTGTCCATGACGGAGGGCTTAAATGCTGAGCCACTTACGCCGATATAAGCCACTGTCCATTCTTTGTTAAGCTCAAACGATGTAAAAGCTTCTCAATTACTTCAAACAACATTTTCAAACTGAAAAGGAATCGACAGCAGCTGTGTTAATGCCGCTCACCATTCAGTCCTGATTGGCATTACTGGTTTAAGTCTTGATCAGAGCACAGACTATTGGCTGCTGTCACAGTAGTCAACACAGTTATCATAGAAAAGAAAGATCTGGTACATAAGAGAGATCTGTCATAACAACTACATACATGATTTGACCTACGGAGAGAAAATACCTCAACACTGGGTTTCATAATAGTGACTTTATCAAGGCGATGCTTTGTCATCTACACAGGGGGGGGGGGGGGGGGG